ACTGTGCTTCTCATTGTTCAACTATACAAAATGCAAACCTCCTTCAATGATGATTTCCAGTGCAAGAATGGACAGATTTAACCTTGTCTGGCCTAATTGAGATCTTTCGTTTATAAGAAGAGGTTCGAGACTACCAGTAAATCAGATCTATGGAATGTATTCATCCTATTTCGCTTAGGGTGATGAAGGACTAACATTTGACTTTATTCACAATTCCATTAAATTTCAGATGTCCTTTCTTCTCATAGGGTATTCTCATTCAAGGTAGGCTGCATTTTCGACCTTACCTAGGCCTTATCAACAACCCCAGCGAGACTCGAACCAGGACAGTTCAGCGTGTAATCTCGAAACGTTAACCACTACGCCACTGCCACGAATGACCTTTGGCCACAGGGCAGATGTGCATTTCAAGAAAGGCCAGGCATTTTTCCATATCACATCCTTTGGTGAAATTGTCGATGAAGTATAATTATTTTTGTCGTAACAGTTGACTACATTACTTATTTTTCAAATATATGAGATGTATTTACTAAGAGTTTCGAAACCCTACGCATCAACAAAAAAAAGTAATGTAGTCAATTGCTATAGCAAAAATAACTGTACTTCACCAACAATCCCGCCAAAAAATATGATATAGGAAAATACCTGGTCTTTCTTGAAACTAACATCTGCTCTGTGGCCCAAGAGCACTCGTGACAATGTGGCATAGTGGTTAACGTTTCGAGATTACACGCTGCACTGTCATGGTTCGAGTCCCGCTAAGGGTGTTGATAAGACCTAGGTGAGGTAGAAACTGAATTCGACCCTGGATGAGAATACCTTTTAAAAAGAAATGATATGTGAAATTAAATTGAATTGTAAGGTCTATTATTATGATTGTGGGAAAATTCAACTACCAGCCCTTCATCGCCTTAAACAAAAGATGGTGAATCTAGCTTATTAAGATTGTCTCTTAATTGGTAGGCTGCATGATGTAATCTTTTGCCATTTAAAAGATAAGCAAAAATGTAACCTGGGGGTTCGGATATATAAATGGGAATTAAGTAAATGCATGATGCAGAGGTTCGTGGGTTGATCTCACCAGAAGACGATGGCTGATTTCCGTTGTACTATAGCCGTCTAATACGACGTTCAGACTAACACAGTCCACGAGACATCCTCCCTCGTTTCTGGCGAAAACGGACTAAGCTTTCACTCATCATATGATGGACATCATCAAGGCTGAAACTTATTACCGTAAAAGTCTCAAGTTTCACTAGGCCAAGAATACATAGTGTTAACTTAAGACTTTTACAAGAATGAATTCTAGTTCTGATGATTTACATCATATAATGGATGAAAACTTCGCCCGTTTTCGCCTGAAACAAGGTAGGATGTCCCGAATACTGCGTTAACCTGAACGTCGTATTAAAGCCGTCATCTTCTGGCGAGATCGAAATTCGAATCTCTACAACATGCACTTTGATACGAAAAGAACGTCTCTTCAACAATGCAATCTCGAGAGACTAATCGAAATCCAGTTAATCTTCGTATCTTTAAATTACGATCCGATGTAAAATCAGAATCATGTACTAAAAAGCAATAAGAAGAAAAGAGATTTTAGCAAATGCCTGAAGCTGTGTGATTTATGTGAACTAGATTGGCATACCTTGTTCAAAGGAATTTTATCGTTCAATGTTAACAGGTTCGGACAGGTAAGATGCCAGTCAGAGGAGTTAGACAACTGTTGAGGTGGCTTGGTAGGAAGATCGAGAAGCTTAGCATTTGGTGGAAGGGGATCGACGATCTCACCATACTCACCGTGCAGCCAGAAGGTTCGCTGTGTGCCCTTACCCTGGAACCGGCCAGGTACAATGACAAGATGGTAGCATGCAAACAAATGCATTAGACGAAATCGGAGGAAAAACATAAAAAAACGAAATGGCAGTAATGAGGAATAGTGGTAACACAGGACATGTTAATTTGATCTCAAATAAAAGTAGCTATAAGTTAATTAATCCTTTATATGTTTGATAGTATCAAAATTCTACATCTGGGCCAAGCTGATGAAATAATTTTACAAAAGGCCATAGGGGCGAAAAGCCTGAAATTTTATTGAACTGGTGATCTCATTGATCGCAACCCATAACCACAAGGAGGTTAGTTTCTATCAAATGATCACTTTCTTAGTAAGGCAATGACTAGGAAATAAATAATACTCTCATAGAATCAGGCCAAATATTGTCAAGCTTTAGGAGCCTACATTTGAGGGTATTCTCAAGGATGAAGTAGACCCCACAATTGTACGATATGTCACCCAGATTATCACACCTTCAAGTAACATCTACTAATCGATTCGTCGTGTAACCAATAGCTTTCATTATCAGATTCGATATTTGATATATATTGAATAAGAGCTTAATTCTATGTCTAGTGTATGATCCTAACCTAGCTACACCTTGGTAGTATCAAACGGCCGTCTCTACTTTATAATACAGATGCTATTATGACATGAAGTGAGCCAAAATTCTCCACATAAACTCTTCAAAGGTCAAGCATATTACATAAAAAGCAAAAAAGTCAGAAACAGATTAAGTTAGTACCTTGGTGAACTTTATACCGCACAGTTGTGTTATCACTTCTCATTCTGTCCTGATGCATCTACCTACTCCCCATCCTCATATCTCACGCCCTCCTATCACAAATTCTGGTGTGTTTTATATTCGATTCCTTAAGAGATGGGCGCTTTTTCGCGAGCTTAGTAAGGCATTATCATACCCGCTTGTTTACCTTACTCCCCTTCCACTCGATTTATCGTAATTGTAAAAATTGACCCGAATCTTCTGTCGGAATCTGCGTCATTGCCCCAGAGATTTGTTTCTTATCTTACTGGTTGACTGATTTCACTCGATTCCAGTCACAGCTTTCTCATAGTCTGCCACAAGACTCTAATAGCCCGCATATTGTTACCTCACTAGGCAGAGCGCCAAGGCTTTGGTTCTTATGCTTGAAGATATCGGGCATTGTCTCCAAAACTCATCCTCTTGATTCAACCCATGTACTCTGAGCAAACTAGGAACACCTATCTCTGCTCGTCTGCTGCATCTCTAGTGGATTTCTAGTCACTATGGCCGCGGACTGCCAGTCAAGATGCCGAATTCCTGTGACGCCTGTGATTATCCATCTCCCTGGTCCTGTGATCACCAGGCCTCCAAAGTTGTAGCTACGGTCTCGAGCAGACTACACTTACGTAAAATGTCTTGCCTTAATTTCCGAACATTCCTCATCCGCTTCTTC